GCACTTAAGTGTAGATGAAGAAAAAAAATTCATTTGCACTAGAAACTAAAGAAGGAATGAACAAAAGTTACATTATCTCAAGTACAATGCAATAGAATTATTTTTTAATAGAAAAATATGGAAAAAAAAGAAGTCTCAAATGAGAGTGAATGCTCTATTGGCCTACATTAAGGCACATGTATGTGTTGTTATATGCTTAATAATAATGCCGCACTGTGTAATAAGTAGCTATAAGAAGGAGAAATAATATGTCTTTATTGTGCAAGATTGGATGTGAAGAAGAAGACAAACGAACGGGTTAAACAAGCAAGTGAGAACAAATTGAGCGGAAAATTGCTTGAGAAATTGTTAGAATTATTGCTGAATTGTGAAAATTTTAATGAAATTGATATCGAGGGTGCTCTTGTGGAAAAATTGAACAATGTCTTAATATTCATAAGGTTTCCTTCTTACTTGTGCAAACATAGAATAACTATTTCTTACAATTTTGAAAAAATTCTTTGCAATTTTGCCAAAAAACGCATTTTTTGTTCATTTTTCTTCAAATTTTCATCAAACTAATCAAAAAAGGAGATTTTTAATCAAAAAATTACATTATTACGTAAAAAAGAAAAACTGTCAGGATTGGGTCTTGAACCCGCAACCGTCGAGTCCGAAACCCAATACTCTAACCAATCAGCTACCGGGGCAAATCGTGAACTTTGGCAAAAGACCTGTATAAGTTACTATGATGTAAGAAATTATGAATTTAAGGCTCAATCAATATCGATGAGGTTCAAGCAATTTGGAGCTACCTTGATGCACCTTATAATAAATAGTTTTAGATTTTGATTATTTTATGGAATTTAATTCATTGTTCTTTTATTCTAGTGTAATGATCAGAGATGCTCAGAGGAGACCTTAAAACTGGCTTCAAAAAGTAGCAAATGAAAAAAGTGTAAAATAACCTTAAAAACTCAAAATTTTCTCACAATTAAAAGTAAAACTTTCCATGACATAATCCTTATCACCACTTTATTTACCCCTCGTCTACAAAATCCCAGTAAAAAGATTCTCATATTTTAGTTCCAAAGTTTCAAATATTTGCATAAACCAAACACAAAGAACCGTAAAATCGCATTAAAATGAGAAGTCGCTATTTCATATTTCACACATAAAAATGAGATAATTCTTGTATGGCTACAACACATCACTGTGTCTACATTTACAAGTAATAAGTGACGTCATCACAGCCACTTAACAGCATTAAAAACGAGATTTCTTAAAAGGTGGAATTATTTTTTTTGTCGAGATGATCATGATCATTTTGGGAGACACAAACACAGACGCGTGACTTTGGATAATTTTCAAGATCATTTAAATTATTTTGTTTTGACTCATTTTGGAAGTTAATTTTTGAGAAACGTTAAATTTTTCAAATAAAGTTAAATATAAAAATTCACCTTTTAATTTCATTGAACAAAAGTTGGTTGGTTGCTGGTTGAATATTTTTTTTTTGATGTTGTTGATTATTGAAGGTAATCCAGTGAGTTTCATCCGTACATGATGGGAATTTCTTAACTTTTTTTGACACTTTTTGATGATTATTTTATTATTTTTCAAATTTTATTTTACATTCATTCACTTAAAATATTTTATTTTATTTTTTTCTCTTTTGATCTGCAATTTTAATTTAAATATTTTTATATTTTTATCTTGAATTTTCACTTTTTGCTTGCCTTTTGTTTTTAAATTTCAAAATTTGACTTAAATTAATTAAAATTGATTTTTTTAATTTTTAAAATTGATTCAATTAAGAATATTGAATTCAAAATTCATTCTCAATTTTTTTTTGTTTTAAATTTAAAATTAATAATTTTACAATGTTAATATTTATTTTTCGCAAATTTGTTGGATATTTTTAAATATTTCATGATTTATTCAATAAAGATTCAATGCGTTTTGAACATTCTCGTTTAAAATTCAACTTAATGAAAGTCCAGCTCCCAGTTTCAGCTGCCTACGATCTTATTGATTATGCTTATCACGTAAAACAGAGGAAATTTATAAGTTGAAATTAAGTTTATATTAAAAACAATTAAAGCCACGTGTTCAAGAAAGTAAAAATCCTCATTTTCGTATTAAAAATTTGCCCTTGAAGCTGCAATAAAGTCCTTCAAATTAATTTAGAAAGTTATGACATTTTTTTATGAGTCAACTTGTCTGCATTGTTTGGCAAAATTTAATTATTTTGATGCCATATTTGTAAGGTTTTGAGAGGGTTAAAAGTCAATTGTTGTCAACTTTGTGAGAGAAAATTATTTTTTTTAATTTTCTAAGTTTAAAAAAAATATCAAAAACATTTAAAATTGAAAAAAAATTTGAAAGCAATTCTAAAAAATTTAAAAAATTAATTTAACATTCCAAAATAACATTATTTTTTTAAAAATTGAAATAAAGAATTTCTAGTTCAGTCTAAGAGATCGAACCTCCCAAAAAGATCTTTATTAAATAATCCATTTCCAACTCTCCTAATTACAGCTCTAAATCCACAACGTAATGACACCAAACCCACATCAGAACCCCTCAAACAACAGCAACAGCAACAGAATTAAACTCACTTAATAGCTCGCATTTATTAAGCAAACATCGCAAGCAGAAATGTTAATGAAGATAATAATGAAAAATAAAAAAAATAAATGAGAAGTTGTCTCATTAATTTATGGAATTAAATGTTGTATGTGCATATTCACATCTCTGCATACACGCTGCCCATTTTGTCATATCTACGAAATATTTTTATTTGTAGTTGTTGCGTGTTTTACACTCAACTGAGGCTTTTTGCTGCTGTGTTGGAGGTGAATTTAAATTTTTTAAAATGAATTTGTTGAATTAAAATTAAACTGGAGCTGGAATAAGCGATAAAGTTGTTTGCTGATGAGTTTTTGAGTTGATTTATTGGTCATTTTAGGGGCTTCGAGTGTCACACTCTCTTCAATTCAACTTTAGCAACCACAAACACTCCCCCTAATCCTATTCTTAACTCTTAAAAACCACAAGTCAAAAATACAAAAATTAATTACAAAACCGCAATTGTTTGTCTCGAAAACAAAAGCATTTCACATTTTTCTAAGAGGTGAATGACTTGTTTTTATGTGTCCGAAAAAAAATGTTTAATTTTGTGTCATGTTGAACGATATTAAAAGACACAAAACGCATCAACGCATGAGCACTGAACAAGCAATTAAAACAAAAGAGCCGAGAAAATTAATTAAATTAATTGATTTAAATTCTTTTTTATCTAATTTTTGGGGAGGTTCATATTAGTTCTCGGAAATAGTTAATGAGAATTGTTTGGGAATTATGAGGATTATTTGTTAAGAGTTTTGAGCTGACTAAAATAGAGTTAGGTTCGAAAAAGGTCAGGCAAAAAATGTCCCATCCAAAGTCTAGATCCCATGATCACTGTGTTGGTATAATGTACCGAAGTCGATTAAAGGTCCCGAAGTCGGTTTTAAGTACCGAAGTACTAAACCTTTCCGCGACTGAGTCACTTTAGTTTATGAAACCGACTAATTTAAGATTTATCACATTTTAGTTATTTTGGATCATTGTTAACAATTTTAAATCAATTTTGAACATTTTAATCAGTTCTATTGCTTTAATTTCACTCAGAAGTGGGTTTGAAGGTGTGTGGCAACTCCATAAAGGTTCAAAGCAACTTTAGGACAAAACTGGAAGGTGATCTAGAAAGCAACTTATTTATTTTTCGTTCGAATGTTTTTGGAGATTAGAATTGGAATTTGTTAGATTCTACCTTCGATCAAGATTTCAGTGCCTCAAGTTTTCTGCACCGAGCAACATATTGTTCGGTTGGAAACCTTTTTCTCTCATTATCATTAGAATTGGAAGCTTTTGAGGTTGTAAGGAGAAGCATAGATGGATTTTTGAATAAAAATGAATACTTTTGAGAACTTTTCGGCTTGTTTTATGGTCAAAAGGCATTTAATTAGCCTCCTTTGAAGACATATGCGAATGTCAAGCTTACAAGAATCTTGCAAAATTTTACATTTAATTTTTTTGTGCAAATTTTAGTCAAATTATGCGAAAAACTCAATAAATTCTTATCAAAACTCAACTTAAGATGCAGAAAGAATCAAAATAATTTTATTAAAATGGTTTTAATCATTTTCGATCATTTTAATCAGATGGTCATCAATTGTCAACAGATTCTCAATACAAACTTGATATAAACCTCCCATTCCATTTAACATCACTTCAACTTCAAGGTCATTTCAGCAACAATGTAAGTCTTAACAAAATATTCTCAGTATACATCCAAGATAAATATCTCCATCTCTCTCTAATAAAGGAATAATATTTTTTTTGTAATGACACACAATAACTGAATTTAAATCTCAACTTCATTCATCGAAACAGCAATTTTTGTAGTCTCTTTTTTGCTTCTACTTCTTAATAATCATGCTCATTTGACTCATTTTTTTGAATGTAAACATAAAACCTGTTTGTTATTTTTATTATTTTCGATTTAATGGCGAATATCTTTGTTGTTGCTGTTGACTTGGATGTGCTATTGATATTGGTTGAGCTGATTGGTGTTGTTGTTTAGGCACTGAATTTAAGAGATGGATTTTAAGGGGGTTCTGGGGGGTTATAGATCGACTAAAGGATGTGGAACTGATCAAAAATGATCAAAAAAGGTTTAACCGTGTTTTTAAAAACAAATTTTGCTCCTTTTTTAACAAAATTCGCCAACAAATTCCACAAAATTCCTAAATAACCTCCAAATTCTACCAAAATCCACACACAATTAATTCTTTGAATATTTTTTTTTTACAAATTAATTTATTTTATTTACATCCAATTTTTCCACATAAAGCTCCATCTTTCATTGAGTTCCACTTAATCCCACAATTTATCGCAAATTGTACAATCCAAGCTAAGTATAAAGTCAATCATTCCACGTGACCCAAATAAACACACACAATTTTTTACATAAATTAAATTCCATTCTGTGAAACAATAAAAAAGAAAAATTGAACACGCATAATTGATGGATGCTTTGAATAGCTTACAAACTTCGAGTACGGACATTGTTGTGACTCATCGGATAACTGCGAAAATAAACATATGAATGGGAAATGTGAAATCTTTTTTTTTTTTTGCTAGAATTAATTATAAACTTTGCAGTCTCAAACATATTCATTTGGATTAGTAAATCCCTCTTAAAATGGACAAGTCGAGTCAAATTTTTTTGTTTCTTTGAAAAAATGTTTTTTTTTAAATGTCGGTGATGCCCATAAAGAGTAACGACTAGAAAGTGATGTCATATGAGATTTTTTTTGGAATTTGGAAATGAACTCTTATAAATATTTCAATGAGATGAATATTGGCTGTAACCAGCAATAGAGACAACTGCAAAAGTTGTCTAAGAGAGGCTATAGAATGGTTGTACAACTCAGGGACAATGTCCAGCCTTAAATCTTAAATGTTCAGTTTTTTGATCCTTTTTTCATGAAAAATGCTTAAAAATTCAGTCAGTCTAGCTTGTTTAAGGGGTGAATTCGTGACAAGTCCTGCTTTTTGATCAAAGATTGGCAAGAACCGATTGACAGCCTATCAATCGATCACAATTGATCTATCCAGCTAGCGAAATAAGTATTTAATGATGAATATTCACATTGAGGTTAGATTTTCGAACTTTACCGTGACTTTATTAGAACCGCACGACTAGCTCAGATCTTAATTTATGCATATTAAATTTAAGGAAATATTCTTGCGCTTTAGTCACAGAACCTGTTAAGTATTTACTCTACATTGCATAACATTTAGTCACAGATAACTTTAATTACTGAGTAGAATATTCAGCTAACAATCCATCCAATTAGAATCAAATAAGAAACTTCTGGGAGACAAAAGAACGAAGTAAGCAAGCTTAATTCTAAGTTAATCGGGTCACATCATCAATTTTAGGTCATATTTAATTGTTTTCCACATGGCCGGTCACCGAACACATGCAATGTCACAGAATTCGTGCACAAATTAGTGTTGATATTTTTTAAATATTCATAAACATTTCAATTTCATCTCGTGTTCGATGTTTTTTATTTCAATTTAATATTGTTTATGTTTTTTGAAAAATAATTAATTAAAGTTGATAAATTTATTTGTTTTTATTTTGACTAAGTTTGTTGATGAAAGTTGTGTTGTGTGATTTGAGTTGATTGGATATTTATTAAGGAATATATTTTTTAAAATATCGATTTATCAAAATTTAATTGATGATATTTAAAAATAATAATAAAAAATTGTAAGGATTCTGGAATATTAATTTAAAAAATTGTGAATATTCAATAGTTGAAAGTTTTAAATATTAAAAAAAATGATTTTTTTTTTAAATCTCAAGACATCAAATTCAATTTTTTTCAAACTATCCGAATTCAAATTTTTTTTAATTTTCATCTTTTTGAAATATAATTTTTTTAAACATTCACAATTTATTGAATTTTATAAAATTATTCCAAACATTTTCATCAAGAAACTCAAAAGGTTATCTCATTCAAACCAGGAGCCATAAATTGTGTACAACTTATCACAAAAATTTTTCTTTAACATTCGAACCTTTTAAAAATAATTCCAAGAAACATAAAAAATCAACTGATAAAATAATTGAAATAAAAAAATATCACTTGACTCAATTAAAATGTCATAAAATGTTTATAATGTCACAACTTTTTCTCATCAATATTATCACTTGGAGATGGAAAATGCCAACGTAAGTGAAGGTTAAACCAGAGGGCGAAGTCGACTCGAAATTTGTATGAAGTCGAGTGAACTCAAGTCGACTTTTCCATACAAAATCCGAGTCGACTTCGCCCTCTGGGTTAAACATTGTTTTTTTAATGCATAATAGTTTAACGAGTAAGGAGTCTGAGGACTAGCTAGTTTAGAAGTCAACCTATTTTAACTAAACAGGGGCCTAGCCAGAAAGGTCTGGACCTTCCTGGAGAACCTCCTCGATACGCCCTTGAAGCTAAGTTTGCAGAGTTGATTAATATTTTTTTGATAGATTTTTGACCAATTTTACACCCTTTATCGGAACTCTTTTACCAACTACACTCATGAAATGACATCTAAATTAGTAAAAGGATGCCCAAAAGTAGATCTCCAGCTTCATAACGCATGACATTCATTATCAGTAGTTTTACATTTTTATCTGCTGATTTCTATTCTATATGTTTTCAAAAATTGACTTTAAAGCTAGTATAATCAATTTTAATTTAATTTTAAAAATTCAAAAAACTTTAAAAAAAATAACTGAACAAAAAAAACTTTGTCTTTGTCATTTTTAAAACTCAATTTAAGTTTCACATCACAAAAAAAACTCAATTTTCTGCTGAAAAAAAATCAAATTACATCTTCAATTACTGTCGCACTAGCTACTTGCATAATCAATTACGCGAATTTCTCTTATTTAATTTTTGTTTTGTATCGAATTTGAAATCTTTTTTTTTTGTTATTTTAAATTAACTCTGATCGAATGCGCAACAACAACAACATTTTTTTTTTTGGAAAGAAAGAAGAAGTCGATCAGTATCCACTAATCCTGCTGTATATGAGAGACACACAAGACACAGAAATATTTAAATTTTTATCCAACACATTTGCAAAATTTTTAAATTTTTTTACTTTTTTTCCAGAATTTTTTTTTCTTTTAAATTTTTCACAATTTTTAAACTTTCAATTTGTCGCACTTTTTGCACATTAAAAATTTGCGATACACAAAAGTAAAGTTAAAAATATAGACACAAAAATAAGAAATTCCAGAGCGATGTCCGCGCCCCAACACGCTCACGCTCACTTAAAAGACTGAACAAAAAAAAACATTTTTCTCAATTTTTTTTCTGCTTCTCGAAAAAAAGTTTAAAAATGTGTGTGAAAAATTCTCTCTGAGCGACAATCGTGGCTGTATTGAGGCTTGCTAGTTTTTTAGTGTCACCTGCTTGATACGAAAAATTCAAGTCAGTTTTTACTACGCCTAAAAAAGTTTTAGTTTGAGAGGAATTGTAAGCAAAAAGTTCTCAGCTGATTTGCGGGTCTAATAAGATTTTTCTCTCGTCTCTGAGTGGAGTTCCTCTCTCGGAATGTTTTTAGCTTTTTGTCTCTCAAAATATTTATGTTTTTAAATTGGGATTTAATTTTTATTTTTACTTATTTTGTGTATGTTGTGTCTTTGTGATAATTTGCTTCATTTAACACTTTTTTATTCTTGTGGCTTTTTTTTTGTGAATGGAATTTTTTTTTCTGTCTGTTCTTTTATGCTTGAATAATGATTTATGTAATAGCTGATACTGGATTTTAGAACTGTCTTTAAGATTATTCCAGAAGCGTAGTCAGGAATTTGAAGAGAAAAAGAACTTGAAAGAAAGCCGGTGGGGGGGGGGGGGGGTTTAGTATTTTTAGGATTTTTTTTATCAAAACTCTTTCGAAGTTAAGAAATTTCTGTTTGTCACCCAAATGACCCCTTTCCTAGCTGCGCGCCTGGATTATTTTAATAATTTATTATTTATGTTGAATTTATTAATGAAAATTCTTTATGGTGCCGTCCAATTAACGTCCAACATTTAATTTTGAGACAAAGGGGTGGGGCGGTGGTAAGGAAGGGGAGTGAGTTTAAAAATAATGTTTAAACTGACGTCATAAGTGAAAATTATGCATTTTTAGAAATATAAAAAAGCCCAGAAAGCACACGGCTCTAAAAAATCAGAGAACAGTCTCTATGCCGGACTTAAGACGGCGTAGAGCTCATTCACTAAGTCCTTTTTAGGGGTCGTTCAATTATGACGTCCAACAAAAAACCAGATTTTTAAACCCCTCTCCCTCCTCTGTCACAAAAATTTCATAGAGAAAAATTTCCATTTTTGAACTGTCACAAAATTCTAGACCCCCCTCCCCCCCTAAATATCGGACGTCATAAGTGAACGGCCACTTAGTGCCTTGAGCTTTCCGGCAATATTTGACCATCTTAGCTGATTAAGTTACAATCATTTCGTGCTTATCTGTCGAGATCAAACAGAATATGAACTTTGACTAGCTAATGACATTGATAAGATTCTAAAAGATCATCATATTGTCAACTATAAGACGAGAATTAGTTCCAGTCAGTGTTGATAGCTAGAACTTGATAATTTGTAGAACTGGCTTTGATAAGATTCTTCAGATGATCTTGTTCAATTAAATATTTATTTTGAAAACCTTCAATTGAAAATATAAACTGCTTATTAGACTTAATGTCAACAATCAACATTTCAACAGCAACTTCAATGCTTTACTATCGACAAACTGTCTCATCACAACAAGATATCACAAACTTGATCTCATTTCTACTGTGAATCATCAGAATAATCTACAAAATTAGTCTCCATAGATTATCAGCTGACAATCAAGTCACAAGCTAGTTGCATAACCTTTTTACTTTCACCCAAAAAATTTTCCGATATTGTCCAACATTCTTTATCATTTTAAGTCAACAAAAAAAAAGTCTTAATTTCATTCAAGCTTACTTCTCAGTTCCACATTCCTCATGTTTTTTTTTCACATTTAATTCTCAATTTTTTTACTCTCAATTTTCTCACTTTTTTCTGCTTCTTTTTACAAATACATGAAAAAATATCAAAAAATTCCGCTGCATACAAACTAAGCTTCAATAAACTTAGCTTGTAGTTGTGTATAAAATTAAAGTATTCACAGGTGGGCGACGATCATATTGAGTCGTATTTGTAGTTGTACAAATTAGCTTTTTTTCGCTTCTTTTTTCTGTTGAATGTGTAGAAAAAAATGCGGTGATTTTGCTGTTGTAGATTCGAGTTTTTTACTGTGTTTTACAGTTAAGCTGTAGACCGGAACCTTACAAATGTTTTATTGCTATTGAGAGTTGATTTTTGAGAGGTTTTGAGGAATTTAAATGAATTGAAAGTAAGTTTTGGAATTGAAATTTGTTGAAAAAGAGCTTTTAGAGCTTGGGAAGCTTAAAAAATATTTCAATTTATTTAAAAAAAAAAATATTTCAGCTTCTAAAAATCAATTTTTTGAATATTTTTAAAATTTATTGTTTTTAAATTTTAATTTTATTGAAAATTTGATGCTACTAAAATTCAAATTTTTAAAAATTCTGTTTTTAAAATTTAAATTTCATTAAAATTCAATTTTCTTAAAAATTCAATTTTTTTTAATTCCATTTCTTTAAATTCAATTTTTCAAAATAAATCTTCAAAGTAAATTTAATAAATCCTATTTTAAAAACTTTTTAATCATCTTAAGAACTTAGTTTTATATTCAACAAATCTTACTAAGAAGTTTCCTTTAATAACCACAAATTGCATTACATAAAGTTAATAAAAACTTTTTCCATTACTTCTCAGTCCCCCCTATACACTCCCCGCATCCTTAACTGCTTCATTTTATTGCACATTTTTGCATAACCGAGAAATTGCAACATAAATTTTAAACAACACAAGTTTTTTTGAAGTTAGATAATTGAAATCCTCAAAGGACGTTGAACTGACGAGTTTAAAAATATAAAAAGCTACGAGCCACGATACGTAAGAGTTCATCGAGTGAGATACCAAGAAAAGTATTAATTTTAATAATAAATAGTTCCATTAGCATATCTGACATGTACCAAAGCTGTAGCAATATTGGAAATATAAATTTTATTAACATTTATTTGCTCGAATTGTAATGTTTGAGAACTGAATTCGGCGAGAGATGTGATGGGAATTTTTGAGTTTTTTAACATTTCTTGAATAAGTGAATTTTAAAAATTTAATAAGATTTTTTTAACTTATAAAACTGAAGCTCAGATAAGGATTACATTAGTTGCGAAATTTAAATAATATTCAACTTTTTTTTAACAATTTCAATTTACCAAAGATTTAATATTTAACAATTTTTTTCATTTTTGTTTTTTGAAATTTTGAGGAATGATTTTTAACTTTTTAAGATTTTGACATTTTTCCATTTGTAACATAAAAATTATTGTTATTGTTTTCCTTTTAATTTTTTAACAATTTTAATTCAAAAAACAATTTTTAAAGTCAAGGCAGCAGTAAATAAATTTATATCAATTTTCGTTTTCATTTTAACCAATAAACTTAATTTATCAAAATCATTTAGACATTTTTATTACTTATTTTACTATTTTTACAACTTACACTTCCAAAAATGGTTTCATTAATTCAACGTTTGGTCATTTTACTTCCATTTTATTACACGCTTTTATTTAACTCACTCTGTTATGGAGCGTCAAATCTTGCAATCGATTTTTCGACCACTTCTATTGCTCCAATCGAGCTCAAATTTTGTATACACACGTATTCCCGGTGACAATACAATATTGTAACACTTTGGAACCACAAAAATGCTTAATTATAGTACAATTTAAGTAAAACTTTTTTATATGGGAAAAAATCCATTGTCAATGATATGAAATTTTGATTTGTTTAAAATATTATACTTGAAATGCTCAAAAGTCATTTATATGATTCATTATAGTTTAAGTAATATTACTAATTATTGATTTTACTATAAATTTGAGCAGCTAAAGATATTTTGGCAAGACAAAAAATTTGACAAGTAATTTTTTCATGAACATTCGTAAGTGAAAATTTGAATTTTCAAAAAAACCGTTAAACACAAGTCCGTTACTAATTAATGCAAAATAACTATTAATATACGATGTGCATTTAGCACACATATTTAGAGCATACATTTATGCTGTTTTAATTTTTTTACAATATTTATAACACTTCACCAATTTAATTATGTTAATTATTCTATTTATTAACGGCTTGACATATTTTTGCATATCATATAAATGACATTCATTAAATTTAAATTTGAAAAAATCCGTTATAAATACGTTACGTATAGATGTGATTTTCATCTTTATGTTAAGAATCTACATGTTATGTAGTAGGAATGGGACGGATAAACTCAAAATCTTTATTTGAAGTTAGGACATTTTTAAAAGAGTTTCATGTATTTTCAGGTATGAATTAAATAATTTAAAACGAATGAAAAATTTTGACAGTCTTTACTAATTACCCATTAAAAACTGTTAATTCATAAAAAGTTGAATGAAACGGAGTGAAGCGAAGTGAAATCTAAAACTTCCTGCAATCTAAAAACTGTAACCTCCTTATTAAGTTTGATAGAACCAGTGTTGTAATAAAACAAAAATTCCAAATTTTGGAAGTTGAATTGATTTATAGATTTGATAAAACTAAAAAGTAGAAAATAAAATACTATAAAAAAAAACTTTTTTAAAAAAGCACGCTTTTATTTCCGATTACAGTGCACTAAAAAGGAGAAAATAATTTTTTTCTGAGAACTCAAATTTGATACAAAATTTTATGACTAAAAATAAAAGCGTGGGGCATTCTTGCATGCATCACTAAATCTTGAATTGTGACAATTAAAAATCATCCATATATGTTTACAAAAGCACAAATAGGTTTGTGAATATATTATAGAAAATCTAGAGCTGGTTTAAATTAAACGCCCCACGCTTTAATTTTTAGTCATAAAATTTTGTATCAAATTTGAGTTCTCAGAAAAAAATTATTTTCTCCTTTTTAGTGCACTGTAATCGGAAATAAAAGCGTGCTTTTTTAAAAAAGTTTTTTTTTATTTTTATTTCTAAATTCCGACAATTTATTCAATATAATAAGCTTTGATTTTCAATAATTCAGTTCCATTTTTGTAATTTTTCACTAGTATTAAGATTTTACGATGGATTGAGTCAATAAAACTCAATTTTTAAGTTGCAATTTAATAAATTTAACCTTTTTTGCTGCTTAGGAACCAAAACTTCCGCAGTTTTTTACTTAAATTTTATGAAGAAATCAATAATTTTTATAAAATTCTCACAATTTGCCATTCACAAAATTCTTTACATTCATAAAATCAGTCAAAAATTATTAAAAATTGTCCACATTCACACAAAATACATTTTTTGATCATTATCGCATCTCATAAACATTAAACAGTGTAAAAATTGTGTCAACGTCATTTACGTGTTGATTGATGCGTGGTTTTTTCACGCTTTATCGAATTACACTTTTTTAAAAAAAAATATTTGATGAATTTGTGATTTTTGGGGTGACAAGGCGGGGAACTAGTGAATTTTTGGTTGACCTAACCTCAAAATTTTGAAGATTTTGCCAGTTTTAAGTGACCTAATCTCAAAATATTCACTTTAATCACCACAATCCCCTCCATTCCCAACCTCATCATCCCCAAATATTCACAATACCATCCCCAAAGCATCTTACCATTAAAACAAGGTGACAATAAGCTGACATTAAGTCACGACATTCATCCATCACCGCAGGACGATAAACAGTTTCCCAATATTTTTTCTTTAAATTTCCAATCGACAACCCAAATAAAAATAAATAAAATAAGACTCACCCTTGAGCTTGTGCTTCTCGGCTTCAAATTTACAGTCGGTGTCGGTACAACTGGCGTTGCTTGCGTCGTTGGATGACTCTTTTCACCATTTGTCGTTTGTGCTGGTGTCGTTGGTGTCGCTTGAGCTGGTTGCGTCACATGATCCGCTGGTAATGATTCGGGTACTGTCTGAAGTGTCGGACGCATCGTTGTTGACATTCTCTGTAGACTATTTTAAATGATGGAAATTTGAGACTTTTTATTTTGACAGTTTGGGTTGGGTTTTGTGATGAAATATCGATTATGATGATTGGTGCTTGAACACTTGCTTTGTCTTGTTGTCAAGGTCGATGCTGATGGGGATGGTTTTGACCAATTTCTTTTTGTGTGAACTGATTGTTGGCTTAAGTCTAGAAATTGAAAAAAAGAATGGAAAATTAAGATTAGTTGAATTCAAAATTTTAAAAAATTGTTTTATTGGATTTTGTTGTTCATTTGCTAGTTCATATCACTAAATCCATGCATTAGAGAGTGAAACAATTGAGTGACTGGGAGGGAATGATTGAGGTTTTGACCCTGAGCTTCGTAGAGTCATTAATATAAAATCTAGCTTACCATACCAATCTCAAACCAAAGGTATTGTTTCATCTTTGCTAAGCCACAGATATTGTTTGTTTGAGAACCAAGGTCCATTTACCATAGACCCACGGAGCACCATATCTTAGTCTCAGTCAAGATCCGGCTTCTGAAGCCGATTCTTACCAAATTATCAGCATACGGTTATTGTTCATAGTGTTGTCAATACATCAGCTTTAATAGAAAAGATCACCGAGAGTTCAATTTGCAAAAAATCCCAAAACAATACCAACAAAAAGTTCGGAACTGTCTTTTTCTCAGAGAATATTATTTTCTTAAGGCATTCAGCGATCAGCTTTCTTGCGTACAACATTGAATTTTTTTTGACTGTTTTCAAAGCAAAATGTCTAGATTTTAGTGCTTTATGCTCAAAGTGACCCTTGAACTTCATCGATCTGAACCAATTTATTGACAAAAGTGACCAAAATACATCAAAAGATGTCAAAATTCAGCTTGTAAGTAACACGATCTCTCAAAAATTTTGCAAATATTATCTTTAAATTATTTATTTATAGCTTAATTGCATTCCTTATCATCACCTTCTGTGACTCAAATCAATCAACAAACATAGAATGTTCTTACACAACTGGCGGGTTTCTCATTAGTAAAGCCATTTATTACTGCGCCGTCAAACGAAACCCAAACATTTTAACACCGGAATCAGCTCAAAACTGCACAGTTAGTGGAGCTCATGTCAGTTCAAACACTAATGATGATGTTCATGGAATTTATGCTGCATCGAAGACAATGAACTACTTCCCACGTGGACTCGAAAAGTCTTTCAAGAATCTTCGAAGAATTTACATCGATCACTGTGGAATGGCTGAACTTCATCAAGCAGATCTTAAACCTTTCACACAATTAAGTCACATCTACATCGTGGACATCATTGAGGTGGTCGAGGAAGGACTTTTTGAATTTAATCCTAATTTAGAGTGGGTTGGGTTCTCTGGAGCTGATTTAATCCACATTGACTCCAATGTCTTTGATCATTTGACTAAATTAGTGACTTTTTGGCTCTCAAATGTTCCGTGTGTCAAAAAACATATTAGCGACTCCTATGAGATGACAAAGGAAGCTATCCAGTTGGTGAAAAATCAATGCACAAACTCAGAATTTCAGGAATTGAAGAATAAACTACGTAATTTGGAGATTGAGTCTAAAACATTGAGTCCTGATGAGTTTAAGACTAAGTTTGAAGCATTTGAGAGAAGCTTTATAACCTCAAAATTTTCAAAATATCGTCCATTGAATTATAAGTTTGAGAATCTCAAGGATTATTTAGGATTTGTGGATACAAAGTTACATGTTATACATCCTCAACCAACATCTGAGCTTGAAGTATGTCCAAAAATTGAGGCTTCTTCCTCAGATTTACTTGACAACTTGAAGAACATCAGCGGATTACTAATAGACATCAAATCATCACAGTGTGGAATTAGGGACCCAATTCCAAGCATGAGTAGCTCTATAGCAACTTTAACCTTAAACATCAACAACATCACATCTTCAGTTCATCAGTTAAAAACATCACAAAGTAATTCAGCTAGCTCCCTTGATGTAAAGCTTAATTCTCTAAGATCATCGCAAGAAGCACACAAGTCAGCAATGGATGGCATCAAAGAATCAATCAGCGACATCGAAGCGACACTCAGCAACGTCAAGACATCCCAAAATGACTTTAAATCATCATTGTCGAAGATTAAAACTTCTCAAAATGAGATCAGAATTTCACTGGATGAGATTAAAGGCGGCAAATGTGAGAGCTCTGGAGATGAGTTGGAAGTCATTAAGGAGAAATTGGAAGCTCACTTGATGGATTTTGAGGTTAAGAATGCTGAAAAATTTGGCAATATGGAGAAAGAGTTCATGAGCACAAGACACAAAATTGAGATGAGCTTGGATGAAAAAATGAAAGGAATCGAGAAGCGATTGACAAAAAAGTTCGAAGATTTTCAGGATAAATTTGTAAAAATTCTCGAATCTAAATTGGAAAATATCCAAAGTTCCTTAAAATCTAATTTTGTTCCTCAGGATTCAGTTTCTTCTACACCATCAAATGCTAGAAAAAGGTTTAAAGTTTTTGAACCATGATAGTCCGTGAACCATTCTTCCTTGTTAATTTCTTATTTACTTTACAATATAAAATTTGAATAAATAAATGACATAATCAACCCAGATTCAAGAACAACTTTCTTCTTTAAATATTCTCACTACATTTACAGTAATCTGTGGACTATAAAATTGAGAAAATTCTCTCTCATTCGTGTGATTCTTGAGTGATTCTCTCGGCATTGAGGACATTCTGTGTCCAACTTTTGAGGCTGTTGGATTGAAAAATCTTTATTCTTGTGAATTTTAGCATTGAATAATTGAAATTAAACTTGAAAATTGTAGAATAAGTGAAGCCAAAATGATTAAAATTATTTTGTAAGTTTATTACTTAATTTTTCAACGAGTAGCATCAGATGAACAAACAGACAGACATAATAACTGTTATCCTGACAGACAGACATTCAAGAAAACAGACAGACTTTTAAAAACAGATGTTAAGATAACTGGACATCTTTGTATTAAGATAGCCTGACATCCTGACATACAGACATTTTGGCATTTAGACATCTTAACATCAAACTAACCTTACAGGTACATTGACACACAGCCTGACAATTAATCGATCAGACTTTTAGACTTCTCCACTCGGCAATAATCAAAACAAAACAGTTTAATCTCATAAAATTGTGATTTTTTTTTTGTAGCCTGACTGCATGCCTTATCATCACACTCAGTGACTCATCATTATCAGCAAACATTGACTGTGAATATGTATTGAATGATTATATTGTTTTTGGCAGTAGATACTATTGCAATGTATGGACAGTGGACATATCAACACCAGAAGCAGCACAGATTACATCAGCAAAGGGAATTCACAAGGATAAGAGAACAAACGATGATGTCGTCGGCTTTCATGCTCGAAGGAAAGCAATCAAGTATTTTCCACAAAACTTGCTGAGTGTCTTTAAGAATCTTCAAAGAATTAACATAAATGGCTGTAAATTAGAGGAAATCCACCAATCAGACCTAAAAGCACATCCAAATCTAACTCATTTTTACTTGACTGAGAACTTAATAGAAGTCGTTGAGGAAGGACTTTTTGACTTTAATCCAAATTTAGTGTGGGTTGGGATTAATGAGGCTAAATTAATTCACATCGATGCACACGTCTTCGATCATTTGACTGGATTAATAAGCTTTTGGTTCACTCAAGTGCCGTGCATTAAGAAGACAGCTGACAATTCTAGGGAAAAAGTTGAGGCTGCAATTTATATCGCTAAAGCTGCTTGCGTTAATTTGGAATTTAGACAATTGGATAGTAAAATTGACAAGCTGGAAAGTGATTCAAAAACTTTGAGTGCTGAAGATTTTAAGAATAGCTTGGAGAGCTTTGAAAAAGGATTTGTTGATTCTAGATTTTCAAAATTTCGTCCGTTGAATTACAAGTTTGCGAAGCTGAAGGGTCAGAATGGTGGCAGTAACATGGTTATTGGTCAAACAACTAAGAAGCCTGAATTAAGCTGTGATAAGATTCCAGAAAATTCAAATTCAGTTCAAACTGGCACAGATCAACTGACTAATGACTTAACCAGTATAACTAGCAAGCTCAACTCCCTCCAAGACACCTGCAAGTCATCCCAAAGCTCAATCACACTGCCCATAACTAAATTAACCACAAACTTCAATGAATTCAAGACAAAATATGAGTTATCAAGCGATGACATTAGAAGCACTATGAGTGACATGGACACAGCATTAAGTTCCATCAAAACATCCCAAAATGACCTCAAAACTGACATCAATAAGCTTAAAACTTCACAAAATGAAATTGCAGTCTCGGTTAATGAGTTGAAAAACAGCAAAAATGGCGATTTTGATGATAAATTTGTAGCATTAAGTAAGGACATTGGGAGCCTCAAAGAGCAAATGGAAGCTTTTATGTCAAAATTTACATACTTTGAGGTTGAGAATGCTGAAAAGTTTGGGAAAATTGAGAAGGAGTTGATCATTACAAGACATAAAATTGACATAAGCTTGGATGAGAAAATTAAAGGAATTGAAAAAAGACTTGCGAGGAAGTTTGAGGATATTTTGGAGGAGAAATTGGCGAAAATTCTGAATGGGAAAAGTTGACTTTTCTGCTTACGCTCCTGGATAAAAACAAAAACAAACCAAGGAAATAAATAAAAAGTCAAAATGTAAACGCGACATTTAAATTTCCAACAATTCAAATCCTTTTCCTTCCATTTCAGTCTAGAATCTTCAAAGAGTCATGTTTCGCTGAGAATCTCGAGGATATTTTCATAACGTTTTGCATCTTTTTATTTTTGGATTTTTTCCATTTACAAAATTTCGCTGAAGCAACACAAGCGGAAGCTTTTAAGCTCGTCATGATGAATTTAACTGGTGGGTGTTTATGGATTTTATGCGGTTGAGATTTATTTGGGTTTTAATTTCCCTTTTTTGGGTTATGTAAGCAGCTTGTTTGTGTTTTATGAGAGGAAATTTAATAAAGCTTGAATAAATTTATTGGGTTTGAAAATTAGACTGATGAACCTCATCCTGGGCATGGCTACGAATCTTATGAAATTATAGTTGAACAGTTTTTATCAGTTCTGCATCTGAATCTAAGTTTGGCTCAGAATTACAAAGATTTGTAGCTGCTCGAGCAAGTTTTGATCATTTTACGTAATTTCTCATTAGTTCTGCATCCTTAATCGATTAAAATCCCTTCAAGCCTTGTCTAATGCTATAAAAAATCTCTAAAGTCAACAGTAAATCAAAACCGCAAGATTAAGGACACATCAAAACTCAATCAACTAAAGAAAAAACTTCAATGTCAACAATTTCTATTTTTTTCTCCATCGGTCACTGATTCTCTCGTGCTGTGTCAACTGTTTTTTGTGTCTATATTTTCTACTGAGTCGACCTATCAAAAAACCAAAAAGCTTTCGAAAAAAAAGAATCGATAATGAAAATTTATTGACAATAATTGTGACAGTTTAAGTGTCGAAATTTAATCGAATGTTGACTTGGAGGAATTGTTTTGTGTGTCAAAAGAGAATTTAATTTGATTTTGGTGATTTTGAATTAAGGCTATTTGGATGTTAAGAGTGTTGATGGTGATTTTGGATGACCTAAGGGTTGGGATGTGAAAATGGGTGTCTTAGGATGTCTAATAGAGCATCCAGGGGGTCTAAAAGTAAACCTATAGAGTCTGACTCAGTCAAAAGGTTTCTAACTCCATCAATGCTGATGACTGATCATCAATAAAACTCTGAGACCTCTCAAATCCCTTCCGAACAGCCTGATATCATTTAATAATGACCATTAAACTAAATCTCATTTTCAGTGTCATTCAATGTTCAATCCTCAATTATCTTCAACACCCAAAGCAGTTCACAATGACAAGAACTTTCTCCCAGATCCGAATCGTCATCAAAATACACAATAAATATAATAACAGAAAATGAAAATCAAATAATGTGAAGTAGACAACAAAATAAATAATAAAATGTGAATGAAGTCGAAGAAATTGAGATGATTATCGGGAGACTTAGACATAATGAAAAAGTATAGCAACAAAATGTAAAAGCATGTTGTAGAAAATTGCGAAAAAAAACGATAGAAATAAAAATAAGTTCAAGATCGAATGAGGTCAATTGTTGTGATGAAATTTAGTGTAAATGAGATTAAGTGGATGTTGTGGATATGGAATTGGAAGGGAAATAGAGATCATGTAGCTCATAACTAAGGAATGACAAAAAGGGCTAAGGCATTGGGTTCTCATTGGAATTTATCCGAAAATCGCCATTATGTGTTCAAAAAACCGGTTTAAGAGAATCCGAACCTGCTTTAAATATAGCCGGACCCTTATTGAGCTGATCAAATCCGGTTCGAGCTGAACAGACCTCGCTTTAAGCTTGTCTGATTAATTTTAGCTATTTAGACTCTAATAACAGACGCACAGAAGGCTCATCAGTGCTGAAAGTACTAAGATCTCGAGGTAGACCGAAGAACTCATAGAATGGCTGTGTAAGCAACGATGTAAATGTGCTAGAATTTAGAAACTGGCAGAAGTTGCGTAAGGATAGAGCCAGTTTTAGACAAACTCTGAATGCGGCAGTGGGTCCACGTGCGTCTTAGCCAAGAAAGTAATAAAATAAGACTCCAATAAAGCAACTTAAATCTCTTCTTCAGCTGGTTTAACCCTGCATAATCTAGTTTGACCCTCCTTAAGAAAGTTGGACCATTCTTAAGCTTGTTGGGCCCCCCTTAAGCATGTTGGACCCTATTTAAGCTAGTTTGACTCTCCTTTAGCTAGAAAATTACTAACTTCATCTATCAACTCTAGTCAGCTTCCAAATCGTAATCTTCTATCTCATAACCCTATCAATAAATCAACCATCAAAAATCATCACAACAACAATCATCATTTTGACTCTCAACAGCACTGATCCACATACAGAAGTTCTCAAATCTCCCAATTCAAAAAATTTATTTATAAAAGAAATTAGAAATTTCTTCATCCCACTCGAGATGTGTTCGCGTTGCGAGATGTCTGAATAATTTACACGAATGACTCATTTACAAAATTGTATTAAATTGAGCATTTGTGAGCTCAGACGATGTCTGATCTGTGATTTTTGTGGATTTTTTTAAATCATTTCTGGAAAATTGTAGTACATTTGATAGGAACCGCACTTCTAAAATCCGAGATAACCTTAAAATTGTATATTTAACTCAGAATCCATCCATGACTCATCACGTAGACACTCATCAAGCTTGCATTCATAGCAAACATTCACTCTCACTTAATCACATAAATTTATTGACTTCCCAGTGCCATTCATTTTCTCAGCAACAACATTGCTGATTCCATTAAATTAATTGTGTCTCGATTATCAAAAGAGAAAATTCTCTCGATTCCTTATCAATTGCATGATAGAAAGTTTTGCAATAGAAATTGATTTGCTACTCATTTTTCACAAAGGGGAAACTGTGAGACTCAATTGAAGCTTGTAGAGCTGCCATGGCAATAAAACCTTATCAGTTAATTTCATTTTCTTTCATTGAAAATCGAGAAACTTTTTCCTTTAAATGTCCTTGCAGCTTTTTGCTTGCTTCTCTGTTTTCAATTCATGACAAATATCAACGAACTTTGAAGGGTTTTTATATGTTGGGATGCAATTGAAATATGTTTTTGGTTCCTTAAGGGTTGTTTAGCTAGAATTTTTGATGTTTGATAGAAATTTGAAACCCTTTCCTCAAATTCTAAAACCATAATCTAAAATTTATTAAACTTAACCTTAAAATTCAAAATCCTAACCCCATATTTCAGATTTAACCTCAAAATTCGGAGTTCTAACCTCAAAGTTCAGAATCCTAACCTCAAAGTTCAGAATCCTAACCTCAAAGTTTAGAATCCTAACCTTAAAACTTAGAATCCTAACTCCATATTTGAGATTTAACCTCAAAATTCGAAGTTTTAACCTTAAAGTTCAGAATCCTAACCTCAAAACTTAGAATCTTAACCTGGAAATTCGGTGACCTGACCACAAAATCAGAATCCTAAGCTGAAAATCATGAATCGTAACCTCTAAATGTAGAGTCCTAACCCCAAAAAGCTAACCTCAAAAAAGCCTTAAAATCTTAAAAAACTTAAATATTTCAACTCAATTTTCCCCTAAGGGCTCACCCATCTCTAATGACTTTACCAATGTTTAAACTACATCAAGACATGCATTTCTATTAATCACGTAATACCAGCAGCAGCATTTATTCCTATCACGTTCTACATTTAATGTAAAAGCAAATAATATAAAAAAACTACCGCTGCTTTTTTACCATTTCGTTGTTGATGTCATTGCTGTTGTGCATATACTGAATATAGTCATCGCTCATGTGTGTGTAGATGATGGGTTTTGTAGTAAGTATATAAAATGTAGCTATGGCATAGACAGTTAAGTTTCAAAAACAATACCGCGATGGAGAAAGAAATTTTTTTTTGCAACATCTACCTCGTTCCGCTATGCGCAATATGATCTGAAAATTTAATCGTTGAATGGAATGCTTTTGTGGAACTGCCGGTTAAGATTGAGGGGAAATAACTTGAATTTTTAGGTTAGAATTCTAATATTTTAGGTTATGTTCTCTGAATTTAAATGTTATAGCTCTAAAATTTGAGGTTATGTTCCTGAAGTTTAGGTTAGGTTCCTGAATTTTGAGTTTGCCTTCCTGAATTTTGAGGTTATGTTGCTAAATTTTGAGCTTGTGTTTCTGAGTTTTGAGGTTAGGTTTCTGAATTTTGAGGTTAGGTTGTTGAACTTTGAGGTGGTGTTCCTGAATTTTGAGGTTATGCTCCTGAATTTTGAGGTTTTGTTGCTGAATTTTGAGGTTGTGTTTCTGAATTTTGAGATTGTGTTTCTGAATTTTGAGGTTATGTTGCTGAACTTTGAGATTGTGTTCCTGAATTTTGAGGTTAGGTTCCTGAATTTTGAGGTTGTGTTGCTGAATTTTGAGGTTATGTTGCCTAGTAAAACTGCTAAGCTCCATTTAATAATAACTCAACGAATCAAGCTCGCAGATTTCACACCACAAAACCAGAAAAACCATCAATTCAACCACTTTGCACAATTATTTCCACAGTTCCATATTTTATGCAATCACACTGTCCAGTTTTGTAACCAAATGACATTTTAATCGGATTTTAGTTCCTGATAATTTATTTTTCTATCCATAATTCCATCGCTTGTTCCACTGATTATTTCCTACAACTTCTTTTAAGCTTCATGTCGATAATTTTAGCTACAATTTATAAAAATCTCACATTGCACTGTAAACCGTTCCGTAATTGGAAGTTTGTGTAAGTCTATTTAACATTGAAAGTTAATAATACAACAACTGAATGACGTGACAAGTTTCTTTCTTTGATAATTTTTTTCTTTAGATTTTGCCATGCAACATCGACTGTTGGAACTGACTTTGGTCTTGGAATTTGTACCGCGATTATGAATAAAATAGCACAAATTTTTTTGAAGTGGTCATGAAGTGGACTGAAAAGTTTGTTGCTTTTGTTTGTTGAATGGATAAAAAAAAATATTCCATGGAAAATTTTAATTGCAGAACTAAAATTTTA